GGGTTTAAAGTTTAGTGTTTAGGGTTTGCGTTTACAGTTTAGGGTTTAAAGTTTAGGGTTTAGTGTTTAGGGTATCGGGTTTAGGGCTTTATTATTCTGATTCCTACAGGGACTTTGTTTGCCCCAGTGCCAAAAACATGGGTAGGGTTGGGGTTCCCGAATCTTTTCATTATTCGCAACGGGTTGAGGTTTGGGTTATACGTTATAAGTGCTCAAGAGTCATGGGCTTCACATACCTTGTCTATAAGACTAGCGTTCTTCATCCATGGTGTTCATACTTCTCAAGAAAAGCCTTGCGCCACTTAGGATACCAAAGAGACAGTCAGCCCTTTGTTTCAGGTTTAGGGTTTTGCGAAAAAGGTCTTGAGTAAAGCACTCTCTAAGTTCGCACTGAGCTGGCACTCAGAAGTACCTGGGTGCATGATGTTTTTGTACGCACAGGATTTTCCAGAAATTCCCAAAACAGGCGCTGAGGCTCGAAATGTTGAACGCTGCAACCCACATGTGATTTAGCTGCTATGCTACGTATGGCGCAGGGCTGGTGTAGAAACTGGAATCGGCAGTGCCATTCCTGGACACGAAATGTTGCGTGTGCCCTAAGCAAAGCTACATTGTGTTATAGAGGTGTGGACCCTAGAAGGAATGCTTTGTGTTCATGTGAAATTTGTAAGGAGTCGTGAGGAGAATTGGGGCGCACTCGTAAATATTGTCCGGGCAGCTTTTTCCGCTAGGCCGTCGCAAGAAAAAAACACAGACAGCTACCTTTCCATGCTCCCTATCTTGGTGCAATCGTAGACACCTGATTACCTATGCGCCTGTGGCTTTATATATCTGTCGTTAGAGTGCCGCAACAACATACACGCCACGCGCACATTTCGGCGGAATGCCTCACATTTTGTGCGGCTTTGTAGAATGCTGAGAGTTCTTGTAGTCACTACAAAAAGTTATACGCAACTTGTGGGGGATGTTTCAGTTCCTTGAACGGATCAAAAATGATCCCGAAATAATCGACAAGAATGACCCCCATAGCATACTCATCTATCCCCAGAGCTCTTGGGCGCCGCGATTGAAGAAACCCAAGGTATGGCCTCGACCCGAGCCTGGGCCCAGCAACAGCTGAGTGGGTTTGCGGATCCGAGCTCCAGAAGTGAGCCTGGAAGGTGTTAGGTGAGGACCAAAAACCTTAGAAATCAACATCAACTTCATCCTTCCTATAAAATTAATTGAATCACGACCAACTGGGATCTCCAGCTGGGGCTTAGGCTATCGTTTTATGCCACGTGGTGACTGACCCACAGAGATATATGCAGTGTGGGTGATTCGCGGCCTCTGCGCTGGAAGAATAGCAGGAGGTTCGCTCCCAATTGATGTGCAAGCTTGCAATGCAAACTTGCACAGTAATCACGATGCCAGCATATCCCCGAAAGCATAGAGAAAGCACATGCGTGGCTTCAAGGGTTCCTATTCATGCTCCCCTCTCGCGTGAATAGTTTGCACTCAGAGAAGTTGCAAGACTGTTTGTGGTGCGTTCGGGCTTGGTTTCGAGACTGGGTCTAGCATTTGGCACTTGAATGCAGTACAGGTTTTTTCAAGCGAATGGAAGGAGAAGCCTTATTTAAAAAAGCCATGGAGTCCAAAACCGTTGCGATAAGCCTGAGGGGGGGAGGCAAACTAGAGCGGCAGGCCCTTGAATCTGAAACCCGAACCCTAAGGGCCCAAGGACCCAAATATTAGGGCTTGAGGTCCCAAATACCATTCAGAGTCTAGTATTTGGGCCCTGAAACCCCATTATTTGAGTCCTCGAACCTTGAGGGGAACCTCTAAGCCTAAGCCACAACGCCTCCAAATCTTGCGGCCCGAAGCCTTCAAAACATTACACCTAACTCTCAAGCCCATATAAACTTACCATCACTCACGGTCTCCAAATTTCCTTAAAGTCCCAAATCAACTCCCCAAACCCTAAGTAATGGCAATAAACTTCAAATAAACCCTAAAACAACCAACCCAGATTTCCAAGGCACTTTGCCATCCCAAAGACTAGGGCCCCAATATTTTCAGGGAAGGACCATGCTTCATTGTATGGGGGCTCTAGGTTTCGGGGATGAGAGTTTAGGGTTTCGGGGTCTAGGATCAGAGTCTGGGTTCAAAAAGGGGTCTAGAAGTTGTAGGGCTGAGAGTTCCTAGGCTTGAGGGCTTATCTGCTTCGGGAGAGGAGCTGCAGTTCTCCACGCGAAGGAAGTGGTTGGAGGCTGGGGGGCACAGATGAAGTTGGGTACTTCCTCCAAACAGAAAATCCCCAGAAGGGTTCCGTGTAAATTTGTTTGGGGGGGAGAAGTTGGAGCTCATTTGTTTTCATCTTGGGGCTTGGGGCTGTGAAGGGTTGGAGTGTGAACTGAAAAGCTGAGCATCCTGCAGACCTTTGGGGCTCAGGAGCTTTGGATTGTGCATGAAGTAGTGCTGAGTACGGTATTGGTGGAGGCGAGAGAGGCACGATTCATTCGGTCGCTAGTAAGTGGGGCTTTGTCGCTTGCTGTGCAGATATTGAAGCCATCCGTGCCCTAATCAGATTACCTAGCAGTTCCTAGCAGAAGCCCCAAACTAGGGCTAGCCCCCAATCGTTTGCAAGCCCTGTACCATATACCCTCAAACCCTAGACCCTACACCTGAAAGCCTACAGACCTTAAGCTTGAAGTCCCCACAAGCCTTGAGCGAGGCTGCCATTTTTCTAAACTCCTACTATCCTTAATAAAAACTCTATATATTACGCTTATTGGGGTTATATTGGGATAATGGAAAATAAAATGGAAACTACAGGGATTATAGGGATTATATTGGGTTGATATTGGAATAATGGAAAAGAAAATGGCAGCTACTATATTAGTATAGGGACGCTAATCCCCTCCCTTACAAAAGTTTAGACCCTAAACCCTAAACCCTAAACCCGAAGCCAGGTAGCCATACGTTTGCTACCCTCGAAGTACATGATCAAGTCACGTGCGCGCGAGCTGCGCCTCGCCGAAAGCAGCTCTTGGCCATCGGTTGTAGGAAATGAAGGGATTATGTATGGGGCTTAGAGGGTTACATATGGTTTAAGGGGATGTACACTCCCGGAAACTAACATGGAAACCCAAAAAGGGCCCTTTAAAGACTACAGTCCTTCTAAAAGGGGACTATATGGGTTTCCATGTTAATTTGGGGGAGTGTATGTATGGGGCTTATGGGTTTGTATATGATTTACGGGGTTTTGGGTGGATTCTGTATGGGGCTTAGAGGGTTACATATGTTTTAAGGGGTATCTGGGGAAAATTAGTGGAAAAGAAAATGGAAACTACTAGAATGGTAAAGGAAATGGGAAGTGGAAAGTCTTATATCCTTTGGCTATACAGGGGCTACTGTAGATATCC